GCCCCGCTGCCCGGGGCGGCGGGGTGAGCCAGGTGAGCGCGGGGACCCCGAGGACCCCTGTCCAGGGTGCCCGGAGGTGGGCCGGGCGGCGCGGGGCCTCCGCTTCCCAGGGCTGTGTGACCTTGACTGGCCACGCACCCTCTCTGGACCAGGCCGCGAGCACTGCGGAGGCTCGCGGGGGCCATTCGGAGTCCGGGCCTTTCTGGCACCGGCCGGGGGCCGCTTCTCCCAGAAGGCGGGGCCTGCCTAGGCGACCCGATTCCTCCACCCACTGCTCGGCGACCTTCTGCGAGCGCCTGCCCCTTCTGCGCCTCAGTTTCCTCATCTGTAGAATGGAGATACCGTCTCCGCACAGCCGGTGGGGCGGCCCTAAGCGGAGGGGTGAGGGAAAGGCGGGGACTTGGTGAGGGTTATGGGCTGAGCTGTGGAAACTGTCCCTCTGTGGTCCTGGGCGAGGCTCCTCTCCTGATCCTACCCACAAGTCTTAATGTCTTAAAGTGGCATTTCTTGCCCACGGGTGCCAACCTGTCCCCAGCCACACACCCCTCACGATCCAGACTACAAACATAAACACTAAGATGGTGTAAATCTTATTGAGCCCTTTGAAGCAGGTGATGGCACTGTATTCGCTTCACAGTGAGGACAATGAGGTGCTGCATTTGCTCACGGCCTGCACTTAAAACTTAGCGTTTGCTCTGAGTGGCAGGCTGGTAGAGGTAGACCATTCTGAGCCCTTGCGGGGCTCCACATCATTCTTGACCTATGTCCCCTGCCTACAATCTTGACCTATGTCCCCTGCCTACAGTGACTCCACTGGCCCTGGGCATGGCGGACCCAGTGGCGGGCATCGCGGGCTCTGCGGCCAAGAGTGTGCGGCCGTTCCGATCCAGTGAGGCCTACGTGGAAGCCATGAAGGAAGACCTGGCCGATTGGCTCAATGCCCTGTACGGTCTAGGTCTACCCGGCAGCGGTGATGGCTTCCTCACAGGGCTGGCCACAGGCACAGCGCTGTGCCAACATGCCAACGCTGTCACCGAGGCTGCCCGGGCTCTGGCTGCTGTCCGCCCAACCCGAGGTGTGGCTTTCCAGGCACACAGTGTGGCGCCGGGCTCCTTCATGGCCCGAGACAACGTGGCCACCTTCATCGGCTGGTGCCGGGCCGAGCTGGGTGTGCCTGAAGTGCTCATGTTTGAGACAGAGGACCTAGTGCTGCGCAAGAACGAGAAGAGTGTGGTATTGTGCCTGCTGGAGGTGGCCCGGCGCGGGGCGCGCCTCGGCCTGCTTGCCCCAAGGCTGGGACAGTGTGAGCAGGAAATTGAGCAGGAGCTCCGAGATACCCCTCAGGTATCCAGCGTACAGTTTGAGCAGGAAATTGAGCAGGAGCTCCGAGATACCCCTCAGGTATCCAGCGTCCCTGCTGCTGAAGAAGATGCCACTGAAATTGTTACTGTATCGGGAGCTCCCACCCGAACACCCAGAATGACACCCAATGACCTTCGGAACCTCGATGAACTGGTGAGTCCTCTGATGTACGCATTGGGTGATGACTCTTGCCCACTCTCCCCACCTGGGGACCAGATGGCAGAGCTAATGCCAACCCCATTCCTGAGCCTCTGCAGCCTGCCCCCACAGAAAGGGTGGTTCATACATTGACCCCCAAGTGTATACCTGGCCATAAAGAAATGGATAAACCCAGAGAGGCAGAGGTGCTAAGTGAGGCCATACAGCCCAGCTGGGTCTGTGGCAGATAAAACCCCCAGCTTCTGGCACGAGCTCTTCTTTTCGCATTAAATGAGCAACAACACTGTTCAGTGAATTGCTTCATATGGAAGACTGTGACTTAGGCACCTTTTGGCACACGGGTGCTAGACAGACACATTGGCAACCTCAGACCCCAGGCTGAGTGCCTGCTGCCCTGGTCTAGGCTAAATGTACACAGTGAGTGTCTGGGAGAGCCCAGCTCTGGTGACCACTGGAAACAGGAAGTGCTATTGGGAGTATAGGAGGTGCAGGCTTCCAGCTCCCTCCTTTCCCAAGACCTGGGTGTCCCTGCCACCCCCGCAGTTGGACTAAGAATTTCTTTCTTATCAGGAGTTTAGGACTATGGTGTGCCTGCCTAAAAGTCAGGCTCTAGATGGCTGTGGGCAGAATGGACACCCTGTCCACAGGCACCCCCAGCCCCCTGGGCCTGGGTCACCCAAGGCCCCACCTGCTCATTCCTTCTGGTGCTGCTGTGGGTAGACTTCCCACATAGCCAGTCTGTCATCCATTGCCTCCCTTAACATGTGTGCAGTCGTGTGCTTGCTAGGCCTTTGTGCCTGTTGGCGTCGTGTGTCCCATGTAGTACCCTCTGGTTGGGATGCTCAGGGGTAGCATAGGCCTTCTGCACTCATCCTGTCCTGGATGTGGATGGCTCCAGGGCCCCCATGGACTTAAGGCTTTTTTTCAGGGTGTTTCTTCCAGGGGACAGTCAAAGCCCTATCCTCTCATTCTGGTTGGCTTCCAGAACTCTCAAGAGTTCTCAGAGCCCTTATAGTGACTAGCTGGCAAAAGGTCCTGTGTGGGAGGGAATAGGCACTTCCTCCTGCTCTGAAGCTGCTAATGTTAAACCCTGAAGGAAGGACTTAGCCCTTGACCTTTAGCACCTCCTCTCTGGCTTCAGGTGAGGGAGATCCTGGGCCGTTGCACCTGCCCAGACCAGTTCCCCATGATCAAGGTCTCGGAAGGGAAGTACCGAGTGGGAGACTCCAGCTTGCTCATCTTTGTAAGGGTAAGTGAGGGAGGAAAGGTCGAGTCCAGCCACTCTGGGGTTGTCTAGGAGGCCCACAGTGACCTGCCCTCTGACCTGCAGGTGCTAAGGAGCCACGTGATGGTGCGCGTGGGTGGCGGTTGGGATACACTGGAGCACTACCTAGATAAGCATGACCCTTGCCGCTGCTCCTCTACTGGTAAGTGCCTGGTGGGAGAGTACTGGCCACCAGCAGGGAGGGGCTGGTCTCTGAGGCCCTACCCCTCACTTGCGGTCTCCATCCCCACAGCCCACCGTCTGCCCCCGCAGAGGGCTGGGACTTTCTCCCCGCAGAGGGGATCCCCCACTCCTAGTCCCCGCCCTGGTAGCCCAGTCCCTGGAAGTGAGCGCCGGGGCTCCCGGCCAGAAGTAACCCCCATCAGCCTGCGAAGCACAAAGGAGGGGCCTGAGGTCCCGCTCAGGTGAGAAGCTGGAGGATCAGTGGATCTGCCAGGGCTGTGGGGGAGGGGCGTCTGCTTGGGCGCGGTGACTCACACCCTGGGAAAAGTTCCCGTGCATGGGGGCGGGCCTGGCTTTCCATCTCCATGGTAACCCAGACAAACCAACAACACAGCTGGGGCGGGCTCCAGGCGGTGGCCTGACCAACCCAGGTTTCGGAAATCTGGGGCGGTGAGTCGCGCCCTCAGCCAGGATGCTCACTTGTCCCTGGAAGTCCCCTGGCAAAGCTCAAGCTTCACTAGCTCCCTCCACCTGCGCCAGTGATGCACATCTCTCTCGCTCCCAGCCTCAGGCCCCGAGATCAGCTGCCCCCCCTCCCCCGCTCCCGCCGCTACTCCGGGGACAGTGACTCCTCAGCTTCCTCCGCCCAGAGCGGCCCCCCGGGTGCCCGCAGCGACGACGCGGCCACTGGTTCCCGGAGGGAGCGGCCCAGCCACCGGCTGACCTCCGGTCTCCCGGCTTCCCCGAGACGGCCGCCCACCCCTCGCAGCCAGTCTCGAGACCGGCTAGACCGGGAACGGTCCCGCTTGGCCCCGGGAGGCCGAGGCGCTCAGCTGTCGGCCTCCAGCCCGGTGCGTCGCGCCCGCAGCCAGAGCCGCGAGGAACAGGCTGTCCTGATGGTGCGCAGGGACCGAGACGGGCAGCATGCATGTGTAGCTCGGGGTAGAGGTGGCGGAGGATCCGGGGGTTCTGGAAGGAGCACCCCACAGACTCCGCGTGCCCGCAGCCCTGCGGCGCCCCGTCCTTCCCGGGGCCCCAGCCCAAGCTTAGAGCTGGCTACCACACCCGCCAGCCTTTTCCGCACGCCACTGCAGCTTGACCCGCAGCAGGAGCAGCAGCTGTACCAGCGACTGGAAGAGGAATTCTTGGCTAATGCCCGAGCCCTGAAGGCTGCCGCCAGCCATACCTCCATGGGACCAGCCCCTGACCCCCCAGCTCCGGACTCTGCTTACTGTTCGTCCAGCTCCTCATCTTCATCACTCAGTGTCCTGGGTGGCAAGTGTGGCCAACCTGGGGAATCAGGCCGCACAGCCAATGGGCTGCCCGCGCCCCGCAGCCAAGCTCTGTCCAGCTCTTCTGATGAAGGCAGCCCCTGCCTTGCTATAGGGGGGCCACTGGATGCAACCAAGAGCTCTCTAACTGGTCCAGAACCTTCGCTGACCTTGGCGAGGGGCCGGATGGACACACAACCAGACCGTAAACCCTCACGCATCCCCACCCCTCGGGGACCCCGCCGCCCATCAGGACCCATGGAGCTCGGGGCTTGGCATGCCCTTCAGTCGGGCACCCCAAGGACCCAACCAGATTCTTGAATGTGATAGACTGGGTCAGCTGCACCCACACCCATTCCATTTTCTTTGTGGCCTTAACCTACCCTCTGCATTCAGGGACCCCTCCACCTCTTGAGCACCAGACCCCACGGGACCACACGGCACAATGGAACACCTGTTGTACATTCCGGTTTTGGGGATGAGTGTTGCTATTTAATTACTAATATTATTGAATGCCTTAGAGGAGACCAGCCTGGTGTCCTGAGGACCTGTGGTCCAGTAAACAGAACCTCTGACAGAAAAGTTTTGCTCCAGCTCCTGTTTTTGGGGGACTGAGCCTTCATTATATGTTGGGATTCTAGGCCAAGCCTCAATGCTCTGACCTGCCTATTCCAGAACAAGAAACCCTTAAATTGTGGTTTTAAGTTTTTTATTACCTGGTAAGGCATGACTTATGTCTCCAATAGCCAGTCCAACACTGGAGAGGCAGCGGCAGGTGGATCTTTGTAGTTCGATGCCAGCCGAACCTACGTAGTGAGACCCTGCCTCAAAATGCCAAAAACAAAAGGTATTTCCAGTAAAGTGCTTGCCAGGGGCTTTATGAATGCTTCCAATTCAAGTCCTTTCCGCCTGTGATTGTGACCCAATAAGGTCTCAGATAAAACTGATCTTGTCCAATGATTGGGAGTTGTCTGGGTCCAATCGAGTTCGAAGAAAAGCCAGGAGATGGGTGGGAACCTACTTTTATGACATTTTCCTGTCCATTCTGGTCACATGAGGCTGCAGCGTGCTGGATGCAGCGCCCCCTGCAGGCGTAGGGCCGGATGCGCAGGACGTGTGCGCACCAGAGCACAACGCAGAAGCTCTCTGAAGAGACGCAGCACGTGCCAGTTGTATTTGGCTGAGCACTCGAGATAGCCGCAGCGCCAGCCCCTGCGCACTAGAGTGGCCAGTGCACGACGAGGTCCGAAGCGCAGCCGCTGACGATCCCGCTTGTTGCCTACCACGAGGATGGGTGCCTCTGGCGCGCCCGCCGGCCTGGAGGCCGGATGGATATGAAAGATGCGGTGCTGGAGACTCCATGGCCAGAAGAGCCCTCCCCATGTGTACAAATGCGGGTGGGTCCCCTACTGCCAGAGATCTCCGAGTGTGCCAAAGACCTCATACACCCGGAGACCTCCTCGTGGGCACAGAGTATAATTCATTAGAACCCAGACCAGAACTACCCGCTCCCCTAGGCAGACCTTCACCTCCAGCCAAGCCCTCACCTGTTTTCTGCTATGCGCTGCCTCAGGGCTTTCACATAATCGAAACTGTCGGGGCTGCAGATGTCGTAGACCAGCACAAAGGCATCTGTGTCCTGCAAGCTCCAGTCTTTAGGGTCTGGCCATTCCTGGGAGTGGAGACTGAGGTTTACAGCTGACCCTCCTGCTCCAAAGCCCCATGGTTCATCTTCAGGTGATAGGTCACCTCCCAAAATTCTGTACGCACCCTCTCTGGGGCCAGATTTCCCAGTAGTGCCTGGATCTTGTCAGTTCATCACTAATTCTCCTACATCCTGGGCCTCCCTTCAGACTATTACCCTTCCTCCCTAAACTACTACTGCTGCCTGTATTTGCCTGGTGCGAACCCGGAATCTGCCTTTCATCATCCAGCAGATGGTGACTGTGACTGTCCCGGTGCAGCTGTGCAGGTGAAGCCTCTGGCCTAAGCACCTGCTGCTCTCTGCCCTTGTAATATTCTTACGGCTTCCTTTACGAATTTATCCTCCCAGGTGCTGCTCGAATGCCAGCCCCTCTGGGAAGCCCTCAAAGGCATCCAGCGCCAAAGACCAAAAGTCTGTCTGGGACTTTGCACAAACCACTTGAGTTTTTGATCCAGGACACAGGAATGAGGGAGCAGTGGTCCCCTCTAGAAAAAAATACTGTGTCTGGCCCAGTCTATCATAGTGGCTCAGCTCGGGCAGTGCTGTGTCACACGCTGATCCAGACACCAGCCTAGCTAGGCAGGCAAGAAAGACACAAGCACTCACGGGTTGCCTCTAGGCTAGCGCAGGGGGCTCTCGTGCAGTACACCCAAAACACACTCTTCCTTCAATCCCCGAACATGCTTGGGCGCCCTGGGTCAGTCCACGTGGACACGCACGTGGGCACCAAGCACACACACACACACACACACACACACACACTCTCTCTCTCTCTCTCTCTCTCTCTCCCCTCTCCTCTCCTCTCCTCTCCTCTCTTCTCCTCTCTCTCTCCCTCCCTCCCTCCCCTCTCTCTCTTGTCCACTTTCGAACCGCTACCTCGAGACCTCTGGGGCTCGAACCGGGGCCAGCGACGTCACCATCACGGATACTCAGGTCGTAGACAGCGCCGTCGAGCAGTACGGCGGGCCGGTAGAGGCGGGGGGGGCGTGTGGGCCGGTGGCGCTCGGGATAGTCACCGAACAGGAACTGGCGGATGATGGCTGTCTTGCCCACTCCCGGAGCACCC